GCCCAGCCAGGAAGATCTGTCAATGGACCGATCTCTGGGTGAGGATCGAGGGGCTGCAGAGACCCCACGGCTCCCGAAGGGTGTGCCCTGCTTCCTTCCACGGACCTTCTAAGTGGCTACGCCGTTGCCAAGTGCTGGCCCTTACACTGAAGAGCCAGCGAGATTCAGTCACCAGCACACGCGTGTTCCCACAGGCATGCTTGGTTGGAAATGTGGTAGAAAAGCCGTCAAGCACATACCCCGAGACAGGCATGAAACGGGCATGAGACCGCCTCCTGGGGGACACAGGGAGCTCGGAAGGGGATCGCAGTGCAGGACCCTGCCAAGCCGGGGACACAGAGGACACGGAAAGGCACCGAGCCACATGCAGGAGGTGCTGGTCCCGGGTGAAAGGATCCAGACGGGGGGGTGGGGGGAGACAGAAGGTGAGGACGGGTGATAGTCTGAAGCAAAGGAGAGGAAGGCCTGGTGGGGGGGGCGGTGAGAAGGCTGGCCTGCTGCAGGTGTGACCAAGTGTCAGGCAGATGGGGGAGCCCCTAATCCCTCAGGAGAGGCCCTGCACAGGTCAGAGTTGGGGTACTGAAATCAGAGGGGGCAGGAAAGGGCTGTCATCAGGGAGAGGAAGGGAATGCATCCATCAGGGTCAAAGGGGGAGGAATCCCCTAGTCAGAGGGGGGAGGAGTCCCCAAGTCAAAGGGGGGAAGGTGTCCCCAAGTCAGAGGGGAGGAATCCCCAAGTCAGAGGGGGGAGGTGTCCCCAAGTCAGAGGGGGGAGATGTCCCCAAGTCAGAGGGGGGAGGAATCCCCAAGTCAGAGGGGGAAGGTGTCCCCAAGTCAGAGGGGGGAGGAGTCCCCAAGTCAAAGGGGGGAAGGTGTCCCCAAGTCAGAGGGGAGGAATCCCCAAGTCAGAGGGGGGAGGTGTCCCCAAGTCAGAGGGGGGAGATGTCCCCAAGTCAGAGGGGGGAGGAATCCCCAAGTCAGAGGGGGGAGGTGTCCCCAAGTCAGAGGGGAGGAATCCCCAAGTCAGAGGGGGGAGGTGTCCCCAAGTCAGAGGGGAGGAATCCCCAAGTCAGAGGGGGGAGGTGTCCCCAAGTCAGAGGGGAGGAATCCCCAAGTCAGAGGGGGGAGGTGTCCCCAAGTCAGAGGGGAGGAATCCCCAAGTCAGAGGGGGGAGGTGTCCCCAAGTCAGAGGGGAGGAATCCCCAAGTCAGAGGGGGGAGGTGTCCCCAAGTCAGAGGGGGGAGGAGTCCCCAAGTCAGAGGGGGGAGGAGTCCCCAAGTCAGAGGGGGGAGGAGTCCCCAAGTCAGAGGGGGGAGGAGTCCCCAAGTCAGAGGGGGGAGGAGTCCCCAAGTCAGAGGGGGGAGGAGTCCCCAAGTCAGAGGGGGGAGGAGTCCCCAAGTCAGAGGGGGGAGGAGTCCCCAAGTCAGAGGGGGGAGGAGTCCCCAAGTCAGAGGGGGGAGGAGTCCCCAAGTCAGAGGGGGGAGGAGTCCCCAAGTCAGAGGGGGGAGGAGTCCCCAAGTCAGAGGGGGGAGGAGTCCCCAAGTCAGAGGGGGGAGGAGTCCCCAAGTCAGAGGGGGGAGGAGTCCCCAAGTCAGAGGGGGGAGGAGTCCCCAAGTCAGAGGGGGGAGGAGTCCCCAAGTCAGAGGGGGGAGGAGTCCCCAAGTCAGAGGGGGGAGGAGTCCCCAAGTCAGAGGGGGGAGGAGTCCCCAAGTCACTCCGAGCAGAAACGGGAGGGGCGGCGGGGAGGGCTACCGGGAGGAGGCTCTCATTCCTCGGGCTGAGACCGTAGGACCCCTGCCTGGGCCTCTATCTGCCACCTTCTCAGAGACCCCGCCCCCGGGCCCTTCGGGCGCCCCGTCGGAATGTTGATCAGTTTCCAGAGCAAAGCTCTAAGGGTCTGATGGCCCCAGCGGCCTGGGCCGGGGTTCCTCTGACTTGCAATCAACAAACCCCTTCCCAGGTCAGGGTCTCTGGTCCGTCCCGTTTCTCCAGCCCCCGATTCTCTCAGTGGAAGATGTTAAAGACATTCCCGCTCCACTCCCAAGTCCCCAAGGATGCTCATCCTAGGAATCCTGGGAAAAGCCGGGTAGGGTAGGGGTGGGGCCGGGCAGGAGCGAGGTGTGGAGGTGCTGGGGGGCCTGCACCTTCAGCCTGTGGTGCCTGCAAGCCTCCGGGGCCTCTCGGGAGCCTTTCGTTAAAGTTACAGGCACAGAGGAAATTTCAAATTGTATAAACGGTGCGCAGTGAAAAATAACCTCCCCTCCCCCTCCCCCTGCATTCCCTCCCCAGAGGCAAGCGCTATTATTAGTTTCTTGTGGTTATTCTTGCAGATAGTTTGTGGCACACAAACAAGTCATAAACACGTATATTAAATTACCTTTTTAAAAACCCAATGGAAACGTGATAAACACATGATTCTGCATTTTGGGGGGAAGGGGGGGCAAGGAGCAAGTCTTTTTTTTAATTCATTTATGTTTCCTATCATGCTAAACCATGTTCCAACCATATATCATGTATTACTAAAATTACTTTAAATTATTCAAACTTTTATCTACAAAGCTATCTATCATCTATCTATCTATCTATCATCTATCTATCTATCTATCTATCTATCTATCTATCTAAAAAGCCAGCGACCGCAACGCTGTAACAACCAGAATGACTGGTGGCTATGACGCCCACTGCC